AGAGAGAGACAGAGAGACAGAAAGCAAGAAATTACCCCCCGGGGGGATGGCCATGCCGCAATCCCTTCTCTTCCATTCTCCTCTCGGGATCTTGGGCATGCACGCACATGCGCCCAGCATGAGTTTTAAGCCACCGTGTTCAGGATGCGAACCACAGTCAACTACGTGGGAGTCCAGCGACATAGCCATTACTCTAACTGCTGGTTCCGTTATTCTCAAATTTTGGGGCATTTTTCTCAGTCTTCATAGTGGATTTTTCTAGGCCAGCAATTTTCTTTTCTACATCTGAGATTCTATTTTCTGTATGATACAGTCTTCTTTTAATACTTTCAAGGGAGATTTTGACTTTCTGTATTATAGCCTTCATCTCTATCAGTTCCGTCTGATTCTTTTTTAAAGTGTGTGATTGCTCTTTTAGATCTTGTAAGAATTTCCTCACCTCTTGGAACTCATCAACTCCTTTCTCCTTCCTCTTATGCAGTTCATTGTCTCTCTTCTCTTCCATCTGTTAGCTTTGCCATTATGAATGTTCTAAATTCTTTATCAGACATTTCCTTGATTTCCATTGAACTGCTTGTGGATTAAAATGAATTATTCTTTTCCTTTAAGGGAGAGGTGTTTTCTTGCTTTCCCATATTTCTTGTGGTCCTGTGGTGATTTCTAGTCATCTGAGGAGTGGGAGACGAGAAAAAAGAAAATGAAAAAGAGAGAGAGTACCAACAACAAAAAAACAGATAAAAAAGATGGAAAAAAACAAACAAGCAAAAATTATAATTATTGTTTTTCATTAAGAAAAAAAGCACAAAATAGAAAACTGCGGCATGCTGCACGAAATGACTACTTTGCAGGAGCCATGAGGAATCTTCTGCTGAAGGCCTCTCCTCTCCTGCCTGGGTGGGAGGACCAGAGGGGATTATTAATAAGACAAAAGTGTGAGCTGAGAGCAAGAGAAAAATTTTACCTTAAAAAAATTTTTTTAAAGGAAAAATTACAAAAAACAGGAAGACGGAAGCAGGAGAGACAGAGATACAGACACAGATACATAGATAGAAGGCTAGATAGAGGAGCTCCCTACCACGCTAGCTTGTTTGCTGGAGGCTGAATTATCAGTAGGAACTCTTCATTTCTCTTTTACCCTGAAATGACTACTTTGCAGGAGCCATAAGGAATCTTCTGCTGTGGCCTCGTCTCTCCTGCCATGCTAGCTTGTTTGCTGAAGGCTGAATTGTCAATAGGAACTCTTCATTTCTCTTTTACCCTGAAATGACTACTTCACTGGAGCCATGAAGAATCTTCTGCTAAAAAGGAAAACTTTTTTAAAAAGGTTTTTGCCTTAGGGCGTATGAGCTCACCTTGGTGTGAGGGTAGAGACAGACAGTAAGAGGGAAAGTGAGAAATCAACCCCCTCCTTCAGGGAGAATGGTCATGCTGCAATCCCTTCTCCTCCACTTTCCTCCCAGGATCTTGGTCACGCACACAAACAGGCCCTGCAAGAGTTTCAAGTCACTGGGTCTGGGACTCAAACCTTGGTCAACCATGTGGGTGTCCAGCAACATAATCACTATGCCATCTACTGGTTCCAGGAAAAACATTTTTTATTTTACTTTATTAACAGAATAGAATTATGTGACCATTTTGATATATTTTTGTTTCTTTTTGTTCTCAATCTTAGACATGAGCTCAAACTGACTTTGCAGACTAGATGAGAAAAGGTATAAATTTAACTATCTTAATCCTATTTTTTTTCACTTTAATAAAATTGGAATTGGTGTTT